AGACTATGGTCCCTAGCTGCCCTTCAGATCTGGAATTGAACCCACACCTGTGGCTTCCAGCCAAACAAAAGACAGGCATATGAGCTGAACATTTACCTGAGGTAGATACACTTCTTGAAGAGAACAATCGTGGGAGAAAGAAGGGCTGTTTATGAGAACAATGTGGAATAAAACTCAAAATCATTTAGAATAAAAAAAAGGGGGAACCAGGTTTGCTGGTCTGATAGAGCCTGATGGAACCACTACTGAGACTATGGCCCCTAGCTGCCCTTCAGGTCTAGAACTGAACCCACATCTGTGGCTTCCAGCCAAACAAAAGCAGGCATATGAGTTGAACATTTACCTGAGGTAGATATACTCTTTGGAGAGAACAGTCATGGGAGAAAGAAGGGCTGCTTATGCACAGGGAGACAGCTCAGGGGGCAGGAGTGCATGGAGGGATGGACACAGGGAAGAGGTAACTATCAGGAGGAAGTGGGAGGGGAGCTGTCACATTGTGGTAAATTGTAGTCAATGTCATGAGACAAAGTGAACTTCTGTATGGAAAGTAAATTTGCTCTGTAAATTTTCACCCAAATTACAATTAAAAAAAAAAGAAGAAGAAGACGAGTGCTGGCAATAAGGATGGGTGCCAGCAAGGGAAAGTAGGGGTTAGTTAAAAGTCAGGGAAATGCCACTGTGACAGTGGCATCTGAGTAGATACATAACAGAAGCAAAGGGTGGTTCTGGTGGTTATCCAAGTGAGAGCAGCTTAGGCAGAGGGAACAGCGTGTACAAAGCCCTAGGGTGGGAATATGCTGGATGCTCTGGGAACAGCAAAAAAGGCTGGAGCAAAAACAGCAAAAAAATGACTGGAGAGGTGGTGACAAGGGGGTGAATAATGGATGGGATTGGGTAGCACCTTGTAGGTGATAGTACTGATTCTGGCTTTTACCTTAAGTGAGATGGAGGCTACTGGAGAGTTTTAAGCACTTCCATTTTATCCCTTGCTGCTGTGTGGAGAATGGACCAAGGGGGACAAGGTTGGAAACAGGGAGACCAGTTAGGAGGCCTTTAGAATAATCCAAGTTGTTGCAATATTTGTTTATTCACCTAAGAAATATTTATTGAGCATCTGTTATGTGCCAGGCACTGCTGCAGGCTCTGGGGACATGACTAAGAACAAGATAGAGCCCCTGCTCCTTGAGACCATCTGGGCTGTCCCCTCCTGCACATAAGGAGAGATGCTAGTCCTTAGATGGTTCCAGTTTTATGGTATTCTGCTGGAGCCCTGTAGGCCCCTCCTGGTACAGATGGGACACTAGGAGGGGAAGGGAACTGTTGAAACCCATGCAGGCAGTAAATGGTAGGGCTGTGACTGGAACCTGCACTCCAAGTTTCCCTGCCCACATCATGTCCTCTCAGCTTCAACCACCCCAAATACTCCTGGATCCTTACTTGGTGAGCCCCTGACTCACCATACCTCTGTTCAGCTCTGAGTGACCCACCTCAAGACCTGCCAAGGGCTCCAGACTTCATGACCTCTCTCTGCCCTACAGGGAAGCCCCGCATGGCCCCTCCACAGAACGTGACACTGGTTTCTCGGAACTTCAGCGTGTATCTGATGTGGCTCCCAGGTCCTGGCAACCCCCAGAACGTGACTTATTTTGTGGACTATCAAAGGTAGAGAGGAGCCTTGGGCAGGTGGGAAGGGATACTAAGGACATGAGAATGGGCAACATGGCTTCCCTGGGATAGCTACATTGTATGCAGTCAGCATTCACTGTGTCGCATGGGAGACGGATCATGGCAGGTACATGGAGAGGAGCATGCTAGGCTCAGGTAGAGGTCTGGAGGTGGGAACAATATTAAGAAAGCAGTGCAGGTGATAGGCCTGCCAGGGATGGGGTGTATCTTTGAGCAAAGTTGAAGCAGGGCTTAGGTGGGGCTAAAGGCCACATGATGAAATTCTTTCTGTTTTAGTTTTCTTTTTTAATTTTTGTTGTTGTTGAGAATATACATAGTGAAACATACATCAATCCAAAATATTTACATATGTCATTTAGGGACACTGATTTCACTCTTCAAGTTACGTAACCATTCTTACCCTCCTTTTCTGAGTTGTTCTTCCCCCTTTAACATAAATTCACTGCCCCCTCAGGTTCCTATCTAATCTTTCAAGTTGCTGTTCTCGATTTGAGCCTGCAGAGATAGTTCTTATAAGAGGATAATGCTCAATGCAGACATTCTTTACTAGTTAAGCTAAACTATTATTTGGTTTTAAGAAGACTTCAAGGCTTATTTTTGGTGTAGGATTTCAAGATTATTTTAAGACAGTAGTTTCAGGGGTTCATCCAACCTTGATGGCTCCAGGAAACCTGGAGTCCATGAGAATTTGAAAGTTCTGCTCTGCATTTTCCCCCTTTTGATTAGGATTTTTTTATGGCAAAGGAGGCAGTTGTTCATGGAGGCAATTAGCTACCCATTCCGTATCCTCCACTTCTGACTCTCCATTGTTCCCTGTTGTTCCAGGTGAATAAAGACCAGTTGTGCCTTAGATGGCTACTTGCATACAGGCTTTTAAGACTCCAGGCACTACACATTGATCTGGGAGGTAGAATCAAAAAAACCAAACCCACTACTCAATTCTGACTCATGGCAACCCCCATTGGGTTTCTGACGTGATAAGTCTTTATGGAAATAGACTGCCCCATTATCCTTCCACAGAGTAGCTGGTGAGTTTGAACTGCTAACCTTCTGGTTAGCAGTCAAATGCTTTGAGCAGTGCACCACCAGAGTGTCTTAGGAGGTAGAACAGAAGCTTAATTACTGAGATGTCTCAGGAAACCATGACCAAAGAAACCAAATCCTGTGAGTTGTTTGGTTGTATGTAAGTAGCCTCAACAGCAACTCTTTTTTGTGGTTGTAAATTTTTACAGGTGTGTGGTCTATTGACAGCAATCACAATGATTAGTGTGCAACCCTACCATTAATCGACATGACATTTACATCTAGGTGATGGCATTCCTCAGTGCCTGGATGAGGTGCTAAGGGTTGTTCCAGCAGATGAAAACCAAAAAGACCAAACCTGTTGCCATAGAGTTGATTCCAACTCATGGCGACCCCGTGTGTTACAGAGTACAATAGCTCCATAACGTTTTCTTGGCTGGAATCTTTATGGAAGCAGATTGTCAGGCCTTTCTTCCTTACAGCTGCTGGGTGGATTCGACCCACCAACCTTTAGGTTAGTAGTTGAGTACAAACCGTTTATGCCACCCAGGGACAAAGGAGTTGACTAGTCCCCTCCAGAGCCTGCGGCAGGCATCACAAGATGATCATGGCACTTTTCCCCAGAGTCTAGACAGAGCCTTGGGATCCTTCTCAACTTGTAACCCAGGCACCACTGCTAATGGAGAGGAATCTGAAAGCAGAAGCAGATTCCTATCCTTGCACATGGATGAGAATCATTCTTTGGTGGGAGAGTAAGAGAAGAAAGCAGGAAAACGAGGGGACTGCTTTGTATTCAGGACCCACTCTATGCCAGGTCAAGTGCTAAGGACCTTATGAAATACTTCAGTTTTTCCTCCCAGTATCACCGAGCAGGCACGGTATTGTCCCCAGTATAGAGCAGAGAGGTGCCATGACTTGCCCACGGTGCTGGTGGTCGAGCCAGAAGAGGAACCCAGTTCTGTCACAGGCTGTCTTTCCTGTTCCCCCACAACCCCTGCCTCTGCAGGATCCGGACATGAGTGATGGGGCCTGACTTGGGAAAGGACATGAGAGATTTCAAAAGAAATACTCAGACGAGGAGGCAGAGAGCACTTAACGTTACCTATGTGTTTGTTGTGTGTCAGGACCTGGGTCAATACAGTAAATGTATTTAGTCCTCACAGCAGCCTCTGAGGAAGGGTTCAATACTCCCGTTTTACAGATGAGGAAACTGTTGCACCAGGCGTGTAAATATTTTGCTCAAAGTCACACAGCTAGTAAATGACAGAACTGGGATAAATTTATTAAGGAGTTAAAAGCCCATGCTCTGGACCTTTATTATTTTTTCCCTTCTCTTTTGTATCTTACAGACATCTGTGAATCCACCACCCAAATGAAAAAAAGAAACAAACCGTTGCCGTGGAGTCAGTGCCGACTCACGGTGACCCCTGTGTGTCAGAGCAGAGCTGGGCTCCACAGGGTTTTCAGTGGCTGAGTTTTCAGAAGTAGATCTCTAGGCCTTTCTTCTGGGGCCCCTCTGGGTGGACTTGAACCACCAACCTTTAGCAGCTGATCACATTAACTGTTTGCACCACTCAATGCAAGAACTAGACTGTTACTTATAACTTGCATTTACCTCTATGTTATTCTCTATCCTGCCTGTCCCTTATTTCCTTACCCTCTAGGGTTAATCACTACCCTGAATTTTGTTTTATTCCTTTGCTTTCCTTTTGTTTTATCATATATATGTCCCTAAGCAATATACTAGGAACTCTTAGGCATAGCGCCTAAGGCATTTGACTGCTAACCAGAAGGCTGGTGGTTCAAACCCACCAGCCACTCCTCAGATGAGGAAGGAAGACTGGGCAATCTACTTCCATAGTGATACTGCCTCAAAAACTCAGGGAGGAGTCGCTATGAGTCAGACCCAACTCCATAGCAGTGAATTTGGTTTTTTTTTTTTTTTTTTTTGAATAGCCTGTTATGTAATCCTTTACTATTCTTTAGTATTTACCCTAGAGATTACAGCATAGATTTTTTTTTTGTTCTAATTTTGATTGTGATTTTGGTGAAAGTTTACAGAGCAAATTCATTTTCCACACAGCAGTTCACATACACTTTGTCTAATGACATTGACTACAATCTCCCACAGTGCAACAGCTCCCCTCCCACTTCCTCCCCATAGTTACCCCTTCCCTGTGTCTATCCCTCCCATGCACTCCTGTCCCCCAAGCTGTCTCCCTGTTCATACACACCCTTTTATTCTCCCATGATTGATCTCTCCAAGAAGTGTATCTACCTAATATAAATTTTCAGCTCATATACCTGACTTTTGTTTGGCTGGAAGCCATGGGTATAGGTTCAATTCCAGACCTGAAGGACAGCCGGGAGTCATAGTCTCAGTGGTTCCACCAGGCTCTATCAGACCAGCAAACCTGGTCCCCCCCCCCCTTTTTTTTTTTAAGATTTTTAATTTTGTTCCACATTGTTCTCCCTCTCTTTCCAGGATCTCCTACATAGATCTCCCTCCGAGTGGTTGACAGTGGTAGCTGGGCACCATCTAGTTTTTCTGGTCTCATAGTCATATAGGCTGAGGATTGCATGGTGTACCAGTTCCTTGGACTAATTGTTTCCATGCATCTTTCTTTGCTTTTCTTCATTCTTCTTTTATAGCATAAATTCTTGATTTACTAAATCTAATATAAATAAGTTACACTTCCTAGACAATGCAAAGACTTTAAAACACTTTAGATCCTTTAACCTTCCTCCTACTTTTTCTGCTATTATTGTCTTGCATATTTTAATTCTACAAGTATTTTAAACCCACAAGGCAGTGATGATTGTCTTACACAGTCAATATTTAGAGTTATCCACATATTTCCCACTGTTCTTTATTCCTTCCTCCATTTCCATACTTCTAGCCAGTATCATTTCTCTTTGCCTGAAGAACTCACTTTGGTTATTTCTGTTGATGTGAGTCAGCTGGTGACAGAGTATCTATTTTTGTTTTCTTTGTTTTTCCTTAATTTTGGAATATAAAATGGGTAAAAACATTCTAGAATGGCAACTTCTTTTAGCATTTTGAAGATACCAATTTGCTACCTTCTACCTGCAAAGGTTTTCTATTGAAAAGTTGGCTGTCAGTCTTATTGTTGCTTCTTTGATGGTATTTGCCTTTTTTTCTTTGGCTACTTTGAAGATCTCTTTATCTTTGTTTTTAGTGATTTAACTATGATGTCTCTAAGTGTATTTTTCTTTATGTTTATCTAGATAAAACGTCTTAAGTCTAAGATTTGATACCTTTCATCAGTTTTGGAAAATTCTCTGCCACTGTCTTCTTAAATATTGCTTTTCCCCCATTCTATCCCTCGTCTCCTTCTCAGACTTCAGATATGTATATAGTAAACCTTTTCACATGTCCCACGTGTTCTCCTATGCTCTTTTTTATATTCTCCAGCCTTTTGTCCCTTCTGATATATCTTCTAGTTTACCAGTTTTCTCTTTGACTGTGCCTAATCTGCTCTTCCTAGTTTTAGTTACTGTATTTTTCCATTCTAGGATAATAATAGGAGCTCTGGTAGCATAGTGCCTAAAGCACTTGACTGCTAACCAGAAGGCTGGCGGTTCAAACCCACCAGCCACTCCTCGGAAGGAAGGTTGGGCAATTTACTTCCATAGTGATACTGCCTTGGAAACCCAAGGAGGGGTCGCTATGAGTCGGCGCCGACTCGACGGCACATAACAACAACAACAACAACAGGATAATAATATATATATATATTTTGTTTTGTTTTCTGTTCTCTATTGTAACTCTTCCTTTCTTCCTTAATCAGATCAAACCAAACCCACTGCCACTGAGTTGATCCTGACTCAGAGAGACCCCCATTGGGTTTCCAAGGTGGTAAATCTTTACGGAAGTAGATTGCCCCATCTTTCTTCCACAGAGTGGATGGTGAGTTTGAACCACCAGTGTT